TTCTGGAGTTGTTCTTTCCTATCTTATACCTAAGGTTCCTATCTAGTCTTTTTTAAAAAAATTTTTAAAGGTTTTTATTGTGAATTGAGTGAAAGTTTACAGGGCAGATCATCAGTTTTACATTCAACAAATCATATACTTTGTTTCATTAAAATGATTATAATTCCCTTCATGTACCATCAGTTAACAGTATTTTTCTCTATTCATTTTAGCTCTTTAAAAAAACAACACTCAGGCATACATAATAATTTACACCACAAATGGCATATTCTGGAAGTCTGCCTCCTGGCTGCCAACTCTCAGTCCAACTCTTTCCATGAATCCTATCTAGTTTTTGAGTTGCTAATGTTCAATTTGATCTCACATAGATAGTTCTTTTTGTTTGTTTGTTTGTTTTGTTTTTTTTTCTTTTTCCTGTATAAAAAAAGGGAACCCAATTATCAAGAATAGAGATGAGGGTAAGACAGGACAGAACCCTTGGTGTATGGAAATAGGGGACAGGAGAAGAATATGCCTCAAAAAAGAGGGGTGGGAGAGGGAGATCTTTAAGCCAGTAAAATATTCTCTGTAAAAAGTTGGGGAGGGGTATCCAAGGCCTTGGAGATGAAGGCAGAGGCTAAAGTAGAGATTGCCTGAATACTGGGCAGAGGGTTTCTCCACTTAAGTGTCCAAAGGAAAGGATAGGACAGCTTCTCTTCCTCCTCCGGATCTTGTTTCAGCTACTCTACTGCTCACTCCGGATTTCCATCTCCTTTTTGTAGATAAGAGTGCTGCAGGGCCCGGAAGGCAGAGATTCGCTTGTGTGGGTTAAAAGTCAGCATTTCCAGCAGCAGCTGTGCTCCAGATTCCTCCAGCTCAGGTACCACGGACTGCACTGGGCGGGGCCCTCTGAGGGAAAAAGCTCCTCATGGTAGGGACACACCTCGGGGCCAGTCATCCTCTGGGGGCAGCCCGATCAGGTCAAAAATTTTGCCTAACTGGTCAGCTTCACAATTTCCACAGAAGAGTGGCTTTCAACGAAACATCTCTGCAAAAATGCAACCAACGCTCCACATGTCCAAAAGGTTTGCCTATGTAGACTGCAGAAGAACTTCAGGAGCTCGGTACCAGAGTGTAACAACCACAGGTGTAAGTGCCATCTGGTAGCTGTAGATTCTGGCCAGGCCAAAGTCAGCCAGCTTAGACTGTCCCACCACTTGTCACCAGAATGTTCTCTGGCTTCAGGTCTCAGGGAACAATGCAATTGGCATGCAGGAAATCAAGACCTCTTAGAAACTGGCGCATTAGATCCTTGATAGTCTCCACTGGCAAACCTGGTAGGGGTGCTTTGTCTAGATAGGTCCGTAGGTCTTGGTCCACATGTTCAAACACCAGGGTCACTTTGGTTTCCCGGTCAGTTCGGGCTGTGGCACAGACGTCCATCAGTCGGACAACATTGGGATGCTCAAAAGCCTCCAGCCGCCTCAGTAAGGCCACCTCAGGAACTGTGCTGATAGGAAGGCCCCCTCCAGTGCCTTCTCCATTGGAGACTCTCACACTCTTGAGGGCTACAAAGTGGGCATTGTGGGGATCACAAGCCTTGTACACCGTCCCATAGGCACCTACGTCAATCTCAACTACTGGCTCATATCGAGGAGTGGCCATTCTTAGATCAGGGAAAAGACCCTCACCCCAGACCAGCAGCTAATGAAGCGGCCCGTTATCGAAGTCCTAGAGCCAGGTCCTGAAGCGCCATACACGCGAGCTCGGTCCCAAGCAGCTGGACATGATGAGCCTGACCATAGACACTGGACACAAGCTAGAGCGGTCCCTTTAACCCCACCCTCACCATGTGACCAGCTGCCAAAGAGGCGTGCGGAAACTCGGATAGTTCATTTTTTGTCCCCATAGTTAAAAGAGTCAGTGGACTTAGAGTATGTTTACCAAAGTCAGACACACCTGTCACATTCATTAGGTTAGAACGGCATTTACAATCCCTATGGTTTCTTCCTTACCTAAGTATGTCATGGATAGTAATTTCAGGGATGAACTTCTGGAGGTGCTTCACAGTTGCACTGAGAAAGCAGGCCTTATACATTTCATCAACGCCATAGGAGAAATTCTTGAACACTAGTTTAACTAAGCCACTGAAAACAAAGAAAAAAATCTTTATGAGAGAAAATAGTTTTCTGTCACTACAAAACACTATACAACTATTAATTGTTTTTGTCTTATTCTATTATTTTGGTGAAGGAGGACATCACAGAAACCTAGTTAAAGTTGGGAAAACTGCATATATATATATGTACGTGATGTGATATCTGGCTGGCTGTGTGCTGTGGAATCGGTTCCAACTCATAGCGACCCTGTACAGGGTTTCCAAGGCTCATCTTTCTTTACAACGCCTCATCTTTCTCACGGGGAACAGCTGGCAGTTTCGAACTTTTGGCCAATAAGACAAGGTAAACAAGGACTACAAAAAGATAAACAATGCCTTTCAAACTCTTTTACCCTTCGCTGTACAATTCTGCATTCTTTAATTTACATCACATCAAAACAGTAGTTTTGTTATTCAAAAAAGGACTCAAATGGCATTTCTTTTTAAAGTTCTTTGAGGTTTGAGACCCAAAAAAAGTCTGAAGGGGCAGGAACAGGACAGCAGAGTGGATGGGATAAAGTTTCCCAATAAATTCTTATAGGACAGCCCTTGTCACCCTGTAAGAAGAAGCAGGTGAACTGTTGCAATAGAAAAAAACAAAAATCCTCCATGTATCTTTCCTGGCTTTTTTTTTTTCCACCAATGCAGTTTTCATTTTTCTTAAAACTTCTTCCCAATAAGCCTCTGTGGTCATTCTGTATTCTTTGAGAATATCTACCAAGATCACCCCTTTGGAATCCTACAAAATAGTGTCCATAACCTTTTGAGTGGACCTGTCTGCACTGAATTAAGCTGGCTCAGCAGATGCCCTCAGAGGCCATTGTATTAATTGGACCTTTTGTTGAAAGCACCTTAATGAGACTAAGACAACTGTATTACTCCGAGAACTTCTCTATAGCCATTTACTCATCCGAGACATGTTTAAACAGGTGTTATTTGAAGTAAACCCCTGCATGTATGAACTGGAGTCCTAGCAGCAATACTTTTTGACTTACCCTTATATATATGTATGTATGTATTTTTATAAGGACACACACTGGGAAGCCTCTCCTTAGACCTTCTGTTTCAAAATCTTTGGAGGATGAAACCCAAGTATAGGTTTAAAAGCTTTTTAGTGATTTTGATGTGAAACCCTCAGGATAGAAACTGTGCTAGAATGACCAAACAAAAAACCCCTGTAAATTATTTCTCACAATAAAGAACCTGCATCCCAGTCAACATAAAAGTATTGCTAATTTTCCATAAAAGAAAGCAATTTTGATTATCAGCAATTTATCCTGTGGCTAACAAAATGATGGTGACTGACTTGAAATGATGGGGTCAACATAAATCATCTCATGATTTTTGTCAACGAAAGATTACCAGTATGAGATTGGGATTATCAGAGATGTGATGGCTTCTTTGTCTTTGCACTGTAGTGAATTATTTACTGTTTCTTCTAGACATTGTTGTTGTTGTTAAGTGTCTTCGAGTTGGTTCCGACTCATAGCAACCATGTGTAGGGTTTCCGAGGAGCAGCTGGTGGGTTTGTACCACCAATCTTGTAGTGAAATTGTGGATAGCAGTACAGTGCTTATTCTGCAGCACTATATACTACTCCACACCAGGACTTCTAACTATAGTCTTTGTAAACGCCCACCAAATGACTTTTGCCAGATAGGTCTGGGTAAGAAGGTGAGGAAAGATACTGATGGATTATATAAATCTCTTGTGAGTGATTGTTAACAGGCTTGTGATTGTAAACACTTGGAAATCTAATAAGAGGATTGGTCAATGTTACGATCCTATTTGGTCTAAAATGAGCCATGTTACTACCGTCAAAGAAGAACCAGGAGTGGAGCATGTCATTTGGACCCTGAGATCCCTGCATATGAAACTTCCTTGACCCAGACACACAAAGCTGTGACACCAGAGGAACGAGAGAAGAGCAGTAGCAGCAGAACCAAGAATCAGGGCACAAAACAAATAAAGCTGAGTGACTTTGGGCAGGAAGATAGCTTGCAGAGTGGGGTGCATCACCACTTAATTTGTAGGGTGGTGTAAGGTTTGTTGACTCCTGGAATGAAGAGGCTAGTGCTTTGAGGCTGAGGCTTATAGAGGGGTGGTGCATCCTGTGAGCATTTATTAGCAGTCCTAAAAGAGCTTTGTAACATTGGCCAGGTAGAAAGAGGCCTGCCTGTGGGCATGGCTGAGGAGAGACTGTCCTGACTGGAACAATTGTGCCCTGAGTATTTCTGACCCTGAATTGTAACCTGTTACAATTCTGGTGCGGTGCTGTAGGATAAGCACAGGGTTGGTTTGAACCACAGAGCTGGCAGTTCAAACCCACCAGCCACTCCTCAGAAACCCTACACGGGGTTGCTATGAGTAGAAATGACTCAACAGCACTTAACAACATGTTCCCTAATAAATCCCTTAACTGTGTGTATGGTGAATGAATTCTCTGTGGCCACTGCAATGAATTATCAAACCCAATGGAGTCAAGAGGAATGTGGAAGGAATAGTTTGGAGACACATTTAAAAGGGAAGACTGGTGTGGGTGCTGCAGAATAAGCACTGGATTGCAAGGTTAGTGGTTCAAACTCACCAGCCACTCCATGGAAACCCTATACAGGTTCACTATGAGTTGGAATCAACCTGATGCACTTAACAACAACAGCAACATTTACAAAGAGTCATTCTTTTTAGCCCAGCCACCACCTGGCTCATTAGAATTTTCTTCATGTAATTAAAAATTATGTTTATTTCACAAAGTTCTTAAATTTTATTAATAAAAAATATATGTTAAGCACAAATATGTTCCCAATGTATCCAATTAAGTAGACTATCAAAAAACCCAAACATTTCCTACGTTAAAAACATAAGCATGTAATCACTTTTGTAAGTAAATAAAGTTATTACCTCTTGATAATTATATCCATAACATCTCTGGCACTGAAGTCAAAGGGTTTGTAACCCTCACGTTTAAAGGCCAGAACTGCATTAGGCCCTAACCAAATACTGCCATCCATTCTTGGTGTGAAGTGAACTCCTAGGAAAGGAAATCTGCTATCTGGGACCTATGGATATAACACAACAAAAAACTGTAAGTCCCATTTCATATTCCATTTTCTTATAGATACAAACATTCAATTGGTAATATAAAACACTTTCTTCCTATGCATTTAATCTGCATGATTTATGATCTGTACTCACATATTTTTTTAAATGATCATGCTTCTGCTTAGAAATGTTACATAGGAAACACTGATGCTTTTGTCCCTAACACACACTGTCCAGTCTCCTTATCTAGCTGGACTCAAAAAGAAAAACAAAAACTGTTCTACTTGTCATATTTTAGGTTATTCTCTCCCACAACTAGAGATGAACATGATCAGTAAATAAAATCAGAGCTGCCAGAAAAAAAGAAAAACCCACTACCTCCACCCCACCACATTCTCAGCAGACTTGCATAACATGGGAATGTATGAAGTTGAACGTGATGCTTTGGCAAAATCAAAAAACATCAAATAGCTGACTAAAGGCAATTTCATCAAGTTCATCCTAACATATTAGGGGACTCATCTCCAAGCAGCTCCAGGCTGAAAGAATGAATTCCTTATTTAAATACTTGTCTTCTACTCTCATCCCGTTTTCTATACCTGAGGAAGGTGAACTAAGTAAAAAGGCTGCGTATTGGGAAATAGCATAAGGGAAAGTTCTCTTTTGAGAGCTCCCTCCACCAGAGAGGTAGAAGAATCAGGATCCTTTTTCACAGTACTTGCCATGACCCACTGATGCTTTCTGAAGACATATCCATTCGCAACTGATTAGAGTGGAATGATCAAAGATCAGAAAGGGTTTAACCACAAGAGAAAGAGATGAAATGTGCACACACAGCCTATCAAAATCTCTTACTTCTGACCCTGGTAAAAGTTTTTACTCTTTTTCCCTCTATGCCCACAATCATTTTGAAACAAACAAGAAGGCAGAAGCATCATTACCTACCGGGTAAATATTTCCTTTTACAAGATAGGACTTTTCTGGCTTCAAGAGCAGATAATCGCCCCGGAAGGGTACAATTTGAGGATCAGGATTGCAGCCACTCATCTCTGAAATACGATCCGAATAAAGTCCTGCACATGTCACAAGATACTGACAGTGGACCTCCTCTCCCTAGTGCAAAGAGAACAGTGGTTTCCATAAAGTAGCGAGGAGAAAAACAGATGAAAGAAAGACTGTAAGAGTACAGGAATCGAGTTTGCACTTTTTTAAAAGTTTAAATTAAATACAAGCATCAGCAAAATAAGTTCTTTAGCATTTGGTGTTGCTGTTGTTAAGTTCCGTTTAATTGGTTTCGACCCATAGCGACCCTGTATAGGATTTCTGAGGCTGTAAACCTTTAAGAGAGCAGAAAGCCTCATCTGTCTCCCGTGGAACCTCTGGTAGTTTCGAACTGGTGACCTTGAGATTAGCAGCCCTACTCATAACCACTATGCTACCAGAGCTCCTTTCTTTACCATTTAGGTTGTTGTTGTTGTTAAATACCGTGGAGTCGGTTCCAACTCATAGTGACCCTGCACAGGGTTTCCGAGGCTATAAATATTTACGGGAGCAGAAAGCCTCATCTTTCTCCCGCAGAACAGCTGGTAGTTTCGAACTGCCGACCTTGAGGTTTGCAGGGAAAGTTTGTTTTGTTAACCATGCCCTACGGTGGGTGAAGGAGCTCTGGTAGCGTAGTGCTTACGAATTGGGCTGCGAACTGCAAGCTCCTAGTTTCGAACTACCAGTTTCGGGAGAAAGATTAGGCTTTCTGTTCCGGTAAAGATTTACAGCCTAGGAAATCCTATGCAGGGTCACTATGAGTTGGACCAACTCCACGGCTCATATCAACATGTTGTTGCTGTTGTTAAGTGCCGTCAAGTCGGTTCTGACCCATAGCGACCCTGCACAGGGTTTCTGAGGCTGTAAATCTTTACGGGAGCAGAATGCCTCATCTTTCTCCCGCGGAGCAGCCAGTAGTTTCAAACTGCTGGCCTTAAGGTTCACAGCCCGATTCGTAACCACTACGCTACCAGAGCTACTAACAACAACATGGTGGGAGATTAATTGCTTGCAGTATGCAAAGCCATTTGAACTGCAAGGTCGGTGGTTCAAGCTCACCAGCTACTCCTTGGAAACCCTATACAGGGTCTCTATGGGTCGGAATAGACTCAACGGCAATTAACAACAGGCTTTAATTAAGGAGCTCTGGTAGCGTAGTGGTTACAAATCGGGCTGCAAACCTCAAGATCAGCAGTTCGAAACTACCAGCTGTTCTGCGGGAGAAAGATAAGGCTTTCTGCTCCCGTAAAGATTTGCAGCCTCGGAAACTCCGTGCAGTCTCTATGAGTCTGAACCCACTCTGGGGTACTCAGCAACAAGGCTTTAATTAAACCTCAGGTTCCCTCTTTACAGCTGCTAGTACTGACGAAGATGCATGCGCTGGATGATATGGCAGTTGTTCAACACGTGGCGAATGCTCTTGGTGTCCACAGCGCAAGTGGGGGTAGCAGTAGTGGCGCCCTCTCCACTGGCAGTGCTGATTCTCAGAAATTCGTCATCGATGAAGTACTTGGCTCAGGTCACGAGTGGGTCCTCTACAGGCTCAGGAGTAGCATCCTCAGGAGTATTGTAGTGAGCAAATTCTGGAAAGTAGTCCTCAATCTTGAATTTCCCAGCCAGGGCTTTCTCAGCGAGCAGGTCTTGCTTGTTAAGGAACAGAATCACAGAGATTGTGCGCAGCCATGTCATTCCAGATGCGCTTCAAGAGGTTCAGAGCCTCTTGCAGACGGTTGGTCTGCTTGTCCTCCCGGACGACCATGTTGTAGCTGCTGCTGGCCACCAAGAAGATGATGGCAGTCACATCACTGAAACATTGGATCCACTTGTAGTGTTCATCATGCTGGCTACCCACATCGAACATGCGGAAGTTGACCTTGTCCACCTGGAACTTGGTTTCAAACATTCCTGAAATCAGGATGCAGCAACAGAGCAGATTCTGGTTGCTTGGCACATAGTCGGCCTGCTTGATGACACAGATTTTGTTCAGAAAGTACTGGGCACAGTCCATGAGTCGCGGGGGCACAGGCGCCAGGTCCATCAGCAGCAAACTGGCAGCGCCTGGGCCTGGGCTCCAGGAGCCGAATCTGTACTTTTTTTTTTTTTTTAAAAACAAAACCTTTTACTGTGAATTGTGTGAAGGTTTATAG